CTACTATTGTATTTATGTTTATGTTAACTATAGTCTATTGTATCATACTTTATGTCTATTACTCTGTTAACATGTAGTCTTTTTCATGTGTAGTTTTGCAATAAATTAAAAATTAAATTAAATTAAATTAAATTAAAAAAAGTTATGCTATCACGCAAAATTTTAAAAAGATCTTATAAAGGGAATGCTTTGCAACGAATATGACACTTGTATAGATTTTCTAGTGCGTAACGGACTAGCTATAGTTACGAGGAAAATCGATATCGTTATGTATTGAGGGAATATTACTCTTCAAAGAGCTTCATTCTGCTAGCTGACCGCTAATTACTTTCCGATCAGCAGAACGGCACGTCAAAGTTGCTTTGTCAAGGGCTGCTTCATGGCTGCGTGAAACCTCGAGTTCCATGTACATTTCATTAAGTATCCGGGGACAAGGCAGTGCGAGGATACCTTTCGTTTACGATGATATATATACGAGTACAGTGCGCGTAAAGGTCGCCGGGAACTCAAGTCTTTGATAAATTCATGCCGCCTGCTGATCCCGCCCACGCGCGAGTGATCGAACGAAATGAATTCGTAAAGCCGCGCACTTTACTGCCGTTTCGATTGGAAGAAATTGACGATACAAAGTGTTCGATGTAACCACCACTCGATGCCCTGGTAATCTCTTTTAATCCGCGGGCTATAAGCGTTGCATCTAGATAAAAAATTATTTACAAAAAATTTGACAAATTTGCATCACGTAACAAAAAAGGATCTATATTGTATACTATGTTGTGCACGAGTAAAGGATTATCTTTTAACTAATAATAAAATTTCTGAAAACATTCTTCATTGACAATGAACGAAAAAGTCTGGAAATAAAAAATATAATAGTAACTGTGATAAAATATTAACGTACCTATAGTTATTAAATATAATCAAACAATATAATGGATTTTCTATAACTTAACACATACGTGAGATAAAATTTTCATAATATAGTGATAATCAACTGAATCATTATTGTTTATTTCGAGATATTAACCATGCATATTTTTAAACAATGCGTATTCTTAGTCGTCCTTACCTTATGTTGTAATTATTAAAAGTACATTCTTGGACATTAATTAAAAATGTTTAATAGGAATTTGTACAAATTTTTGTTTCAGTATACCGATTGGGATCGGGTGAATGATGGTTATCATAATCAGAGGGCGATAGCAGACATCGTGGGCGATTATTTCTTTATCTGCCCATCCACACATTTTGCACAATTATTCGCAGATCGCGGCATGACGGTTTACTATTACTTTTTCACGCAGGTAAGCGATTGTATCTATCATTATAGGAAATTAGTTAATAAGAATGTTTTAACAGATAATGACTAGTTGACAAACCGTTATTACGTTACGCATTTTGATAATTTCATGGGGTAGATTTCTATAGTGTAGAGGGAGTTATAAATTTTCACACAATTATGATAAATTAATGATAAATATTTTAAAATGTTGCATGTCCATTTGAGAGATTCAATAATTAAATACTTATAAACCGTTAATATGCCTTGTAAATAAGAAAAAAAGTTTCGTTTTTTACAAGAATGCAAAGTGGTTCAATATATGCCACCTATGGGGCATGTTGAGTAATCCCGAAGGATAGGTTAAGCCATGACGATAATTGTGTGTGTAATAAGAAGTTATATATTATTAATAACATGAAAGGATTATGTGTATGTATATTAATCAAGTTTTTATTAGTTTCTATCTTAAGTATAATAATTTGTAATACTCTCTTTTTTTAAATGTTTTAATTAACAAAATTTTAAAAATTAAAAACTTTATCTACTCTTCATAATAATAAAATTAAACATAAAATATACAGATTTTATTTAAGTAACTAACTGAGTTTATAAGATTATTATTATGGAATACTTGGCTCAACAAGCCCCACATCGATGATGACTGAAATATTTTTTTATAACTAAAAAACCGTAAACAAAATAACAACTTGAACCGTTAAAGTTAAAAAATACGCTAATAATTTAATAACCCTAATAACTCGGCACAGCGTGATTATTGTACTGAACTTTTACCGCTATTCTCCTAAAGTAAGCCGAAAGAACAGAGTTTACAAAACTGAGAAATTACCGCAAAAGAGTATTATGTAAATTGGATTCTGGGTCGCTTTTATATATAATATAATAAAAAAGTTTATGTGATATAGAAATATACCTAAGGGAGTAAAACAGAAAGATCAAAAAACAGAAGAATCTACTAGACGGAACTAAAATATAACGTGAAGTAAGTGGAAAACAATTGTTTTAATGACGAATGTGTTATTAATGCGTTTCCTAGTCCCATGGAATTCACTTGTAACATTAATCAATGTGCTACCGTTGCTATAATCAAGTGTAATATTTGGATAGCGAGTAATAACTAAATATAAACATATATTCACATTATCAATTACGCACAAATTACATCCGCGTGATTTATTTTATCGTTTTGTCAATTTGCGAGGTGTTATCACACCGGAAGATAATGCATCCTCCATTACATCATCGGAATGTAATGTTTAAATTCAGAATGCAGCAAATTGTGCACGTTCATGACGCTGTACAATTACTGTTTCGTCGCCTCGTGACCACCGAAATTATTTGAAATGCAAACTCACGTGGGAGAAGTTTGTGTACATTACGTACGCGGACGTTCTACTGTGTAATATGTCGCGTTTACCGTCATTCCTGCTGCCCGTCATGTTTAGCTTTTCGTTGTGTTTATTCCGATTATGAAATGTCTTTCATCGACATCTTATTGAGCTATAAACAAAATTGTATAATATGCTTTAAAAATCATGTTACAATAATAAGGAATTATTAGAGACAATTTTCGAAATAAAATTAATAAAAGTTTAATTGAATTTAATTTTTTTTTATCATAAATGCACTATTTTAATAGATTTACTATTTAAAAAATAATATGAAAAATAGATATATAATTTAAATGTTGTCTTAAAATAGATTTTTCCAAAATAAACAGATATTTCTAGAAAAGATTTTATATAATCTCAAAACATATTTACTATTAAAAATATTTTTAACATTTAAAGGTTTATTAAATATTTTGCTAATAATTTTGCTACTTTCAAAAAATTTATAAATACAATTTATTTGAATAAAAGTATATTATTTATTCATCTTTATAAAATTTAATTATGTAAATTTCTTTCATTTTCTGTATCCTATGTATGAATATCTGATCTGTATTAATCTTATTTTTATTATGCCGTATGTTTCTGATAAAATTTTTTTCTTTTTTATAAGATTTTACTAATGGAGAGATATTAACATAGTGGTATAATGACAACTCCTTTAAGTCAATTAAATTGATGTATAATTCAGCATAAACGGTATTTCTTTTGGAAAATAGATTCAAAATTTTATTCTTTAAATAAGCGTGACTCTATTCACATGCGTATAATAGAATTCTTATGTATAATAAGTTTAATAATTACAGAGAGCGTTGTAAAGAAACTGTCAAATCGTAAAGAGTAATCAAAAAAGATGATTTCGATTATCAGAGCAATTTAGTTCTTGTCGAATAATCTTTTTGCTGTCTACACTCTTTCTCTCCTCTCTTTCTTTTTCTCTCTGTCCCCTTCTGCTCTCCCCTTTTCTCGCTTTCACTTTTTCTTTTCCTTTCTCTGCTTAAAATAAAATTAATTACGCTAATAAAAAAAATCAATGGATAAAAATGGATAAAAATGTAAAAATATAATATAATTTTTCTTCTAAATCTAATAAAGAAAAATAGTTTTAATGTTAACCGAATAAAGCGTTCGACCGAACAAAGATACATGATAATAGATAAATATTCTATTAGTCTATATCATTTTTGAAAATTGAACGTTCCTTACTTTCGTATTTTAGTAATCATAAAGCACGATTCAATTTGATGATAACACGATCTCGAAGTATCGCTCTCTCGTGTGTTCACCGGCTGTTTTCTACCCTTTTGGGCATCCCTGATGACCGATAGTCGTTACGTAAAAAAAGCAAAAAAATCGTGCAAAGTGTATTTTAAGAGAAAATAAACAAACAATTGAAATTTTATATAGATACTCGTAATATCATTCCTATTTTAAGAAATTTTTTTTCCTTGGAAACAACGAATTTTGCATATTGATGAATAATATGAAAACATGAACGTTATCGAACAGATTGTATTACTGAACAAATGAGAAAAATATTTTAAAGGTAGAGATATTTCAAGAAAATATTGCAATTAGCTTACATATGATTATATTGTAGAACAAAAATAGAGTTTCGAAATATTGAGAAAGTATTTTAAATAGTATGATATATCTTATACTGTAACATTATTTTATTAACATTATTTTTACGTAACTTTTATGCATTCAGAGAGGAGATTTTCTATGTGAAACTTTGTAAATTTTAAATATAAAAAAAATTTATGGAAATTTAAAATAATAATATAGAAAAAAGTCGAGGTGAAATTATAAATAAAAATTTTTACACACTATTTATTTCAGAATTATCTTAGCTATTATGTGTATCTAATAATAAAATAATCGTAGAAATAATATGATCAAAAATCAAACATTTCGTAAATGATCACATTTGTTCGAATTTATTCAAATAGTTCAGTAAAAAAATGTTAAATTATGGCTTTTATATATTTTTCCATTTGTCTACAACTACGATCGTCAACTTGTTTCTGTGAAGTGAAAAATAGTACTTTTGTCTATTCCACGTCATTGATTACATCTCTCTTTTCCTATATTTGATGCTGCCCTTCTTTTTTTCTTCCCCTTTATCTCTGAACTATTCTATTTCTCATTTCCGTGCGTTTCCTATTTTTCACTATGCATTTTCTCGTTTTCACTTCTCGTACAAACACTTTTTCGCATCGTTTCATTTACCTCCTCTCCTCTCTTTTTCTCTTTTATTCATCCCTTCTCCTCTCTCTCTCTCTCTCTCTCTCTCTCTCTCTCTCTCTCTCTCTCGCTCGCTCGCTCTTTCTTTTTCTCTTAAAACATTCTTTCGCAACCTTTCGTGTTGCACTTTTTACTTTATCCTTCTTTTTTTCTCTTTTTCATCCCCTTACTTGGCGCTATCCTCTATCTTCATTGCAGTCTCTGAGCCATGAAACGCACGTAAGCAAAATGCCGCGGTACGGAGGCTCGAGCAATTAGTGAAGAAGGTAATTTATCAGCTAGTAACGCTCGGTTCTTCGAAGCGCCGTTGAAAGTAAAGAGGATGTCATTACTCATGCGTCCCAGTCGTAATCTTAATAACGGTTTTACCCTGGCTAAACGAAGACTTGCGCGAAAATGCTTGCTTCCCTTTTTTTTTTATTGTCGCTCGCCTGCGTGGCCTATTACCGTCCTTGCAATTTCAAGTCGCGTCGCAGAATTAGAGTACATTCATACCGATCTAAAATTGATATTCAATATATCTTGATATGAGATTGTTACAATTTTGTAATACTTGATTCAAATTTGATTCTTTTCACAATATATATATATATATATATATTGCTCATATCCATAAACTTTTTGTGAGTGTACACTCGTAAATTTTTTTATTAAATAATAAGTTAAATTACATCATTTATTTGAATAATACAAATAAACATAAAATTGCTAAATTACCGATCGAGGATGACTTTTGGTGTCTAATAATATTTCTATGTAAATTTTAATACATTTTCCAGTTTCTATAAACCGTGCGCCGATTACTGTTGAACTTGAAACGTAATAAACTAAAACTGGAATAGTAACAAATTAAAATGGTCGTAAGTTTAATAATAATGCCAAAATAAGATCCTAAAAACTGTAAAAAATTTATTGCAAAAAATACTATCTTAACCAAAGTTCTATATTGGTGATTTTTTATTTATTTTATATTATTTATTTAAGTGGTCTAGTTTAACATATTATTGTTTATATGTACATTTTTCTTTTACATATATATACAGGGTATTCGGTAAAGACTGTAACAACGTTGACATCCTCTTTACTTAGATTCCTGAAATCATTTTGAGACGAAAATTCTAATATCAAAATATCGAGACTTTAATAGTTTTTAAATTATAAGTACTTAAAATTATATATCGAATCATACTACTTAAAGTTTGCGCGTTCAGACGTACAACAGAAAATCCAACTGTACTTAAGCGCGTTAAATAAATACAGATCTAAAAATAATCTTATTGATTCACCAAAATAATTATGTAGGAAACTCACATATGATGAGTAATGTTGAAAAATATTTTGTTATTTTAATAAACAATTTCAGCGTCCTAAATAATTATTTTGATAATTCAACAAAATTATTTTCAAACTTATATATCTAGAAATTTGGTATTATTTTAGAAAAATTATTCTTTCTCTCTTTGCATAAAATCAATAGTTTGATACATGTATGTTTGCATCTCAATATTAAATAGGAAAACTGTGATAAATATATATTATCTTGAACACATGTGTAATAACGTCAAATCGACGAAATAACGATGAAACATATGTTGTGTTGCAGAGGACAAGTACGAATGTATGGGGCAAATGGATGGGTGTGATGCATGGTGACGAAGTGGAATATGTCTTTGGGCATCCCTTGAATAAATCTTTGGAATATACCGACAATGAACGAGATCTTTCTTTGAGAATGATTCACTATTTCTCGCGATTTGCATATACGGGGTAGGTATTATGAGTATTAGGTATAACGAGTTATGCAATGCCAAAAATTTATTATCTCTGATATAGTAAATAATAATATAGTATTAGATACAATAAATAAAAAAAATTACGTTAATATTGTAAAAAATTATCATATATTAAAAATTTACTGTAATTGTATGGTCATCTTTTCCGTATAGCTATCTTATCCGAGTTCACTCTACAATATCATACATATAAGCATTAATATTCAAAATTAATTTCGTGTTTATAATTTTATAAATTATTAATATATACCTCACACGTCACCATATAAATAAATTATTTCTCTTCACTCGTGTGTATTATAAATTTTACTTATATACAAATATTTAATTAGTTTATTATAGACATGTTAAATACATAGTCAAGGTAACAAAATACAATACTTAATAAAAATTGTGCACGCTAATGTATCTAATGTAACATGAAATTATAAATGTAAGTGATACAGAATGGATGTTAACATATAGAGGAGAATTCGATGTATGAAATAAAGTTAATTTAAATTCAAATTATAGCTATAAGTAAGGAGTAAGTTCATCAGAAACTCGTTGCATATCCAAACTTAAATTTCCATTTGTCAACACGAAAATGTTAGTGTTATGTACTGAGCACAAAAATAATTTTTCCATAAATATAATCTTAAACATTTTTATTTATAAGCTTAAAAATTTTTATTCGTTGAATTATGACAAACATACAGGGATCGATTTTTAAAATTTTTTAACGATATTTTTTAATAATTTGTAATCTGTCAAAACAGCTTAACTTCAGGTTTTCTTTAGTAATTCAAGGTTTGAATCTTAAAGTAAAAAATAGACCAATTATAGTCGATTAATTATTCTTCTCACATTGACTGTAATTGATGATCAGTTTTTCACAGCTCAAGACTTAAAGTTTAGGTAATAGCTTATTGTAAAAAGCCCATATTATATTTTAGACAAACATTATGTCTTACATTCTAGCATTGTCTTATTTTTGGTACATATTTTAATTAAATAATAAGAAAAAAATATTGAAATTTATTAAAAATGCTCTTTTGTTGATTAAAGAGATCATAAAATCAAATGTTATAATCATATTCTCTGATTCTATTTATGCATAAAATTAAATATAAAGTAGAATTAATTTTATACTATTCTCTATCTTTAATTTTATACTATTTAACACAATTCTCAATTTACACGTACATATGTATTAACGTGAGATATTATCAAATATCTCACATTATAAATTGCATTTTATATGTTTTAAATTTAATTAAATTATAATAGAGATAAGTAATTTTATTAAGAAAATTATAAATGGATTTTTATAGCTTTGTTGCATTCGTGATAAGATTATTTAAACTTTTATATAAAATGTTTTTATTTATAGGTATATCAAGTTATAGCACAAAAAAGAGAATTTGCTCTGCTTTCGCAAGATAAATTCAATGATAATAAAGTTTAAAGTTATTAAGACGTATTGCTCTCTATGAATATAGGATTTGTTTTTTGCTTTGTTGTTTACAATCAACATATTGCCTTTCCATGCAATATTTAAAATCTACTACAACATGGAGCATGAAAAATTAATACTGAATGAATAGCATGAAAACATGTCAATTCAATTTTTAAAACTTTAAATTTAAAAAATCAATATACATGGAAAATTACAGAGATCATACATTTTTTATGTTAGCAACTTTTAAAAGATTTAATTATTAGATTACTATATGCTTGTTTTAAAAACATTTTTCTAATTGACTAGTAGACGGAGTCATTTTTACTTTTTAATAGGTATGTAGGTGGATATTCGGGTAGTATCTGACTGGATAATCGGATATTTATATGTATATTATATATATATATATATATATAGTGTCCGACTGAAATTTTATAGTGAAAGTTTGCATCATTAATGCTCAATTCTATTCTTTTCAGCTAAACTTTTTAAACATCTTGATTCATCTTCTCTCTTTTTCTTTTCACACTGGGGAGATAAAGAAAATAATTTTTATCGCTATTTTCTCCTTACTTTCCTTTTTTTTAAAATAGAGAAATTGTATCGGATATCCGGTCGGATAATTGCCCTATCAGATATCCGGTTTTACATTCTTTCCGGATATCCGATATTCGATATCTGGTAATTTTACAATCCGGTATATATATCCCTACTTTTTAATATATCTTTCAGGATGCCAACAGTAACCGAAACTGAGTGGCCATCTTATACCAGAAATCATCCAAAGTATTTTATTTGGAATGCAGAAAAGAAGAATGCTTTTGGCAGAGGTCCTCGCACAACAGCCTGTGCATTTTGGAATGAATTCCTGCCACGCCTAAAAGGTGTTCCTGGTACGTAAAAAATTTTCTCATATGAAAATAAAGGATCCTTTTATCCCCGCTGTAAATTGTATAGCCACCACAAGATACTATTAAAGACTAATATTCTTACGAGAATTCGCGTCCTTGTTCAAGCTGTTCATTAAAATTTAAAATTTATAATAAGGGTAAGAAATTGATAATATAGCATTAATTTTATGATTTATTAGTTTCATAGGCATATATATATATGTATATGTATATAAAACTCAATAGTACTTGATGTTTATTTAAAACAGTGATTTTAATGTTATCATCCGGATTTGATTATCGATAGAATTGATAATTGTAGAGAAAAAGAAATTTAATTTTTGTGACATACATTTAATAAGATACTATAGCACATTACAAGTATGCATACTTACTTATGAAGCATTTTTACTCGTATAATTAAAAAATCATGAATTTAATGATTTATTATTTAGTATTAGCTAAATATTTATATTATAATTGTATATTTTATATTTATATCAATTGTCGACAATATCAGTATTTTTCGATTACTTCTGGGCCCTTTTTTGTGAGGACAAAAATTTCCCTAGGGTTGATCTTTAATAGTATCTCATTAGCGGCATTGACTATATAAGGGCCGATTGTTCCACCTTTTGGTAAATTTTACCTGTGAGGTAAATCTGGTAATCCGCGCATGTGATTGGGTAATCTTGCTACTTACCCAACAGGTAAAATTTATCAAAAGGTGAAACAATCGGCTCTAAAAGTTCGACTCGTTGTATGTGAAATTGTATTCACAATTAGCTAAGAACATGAGAGAGCGAGAGAGAGAGAGAGAAGTGCTCACTCTTTACTATAGATTTCTATGAGTGCATTCAGTACTACAACCACTCACTGAGCGCTCAGTAAGCAATGATTGCATCCTGTTATCACTAGACCGCTAACTCGTCTCTTTAACTGTTGCCAAAACGTATATCTGTTAATATCTTCTGTCTGTATGTGATGGTTTTATTCTGCGCATACATTGCGCGCAGACAACTTTTAATACATAGGAAAAGATGGAGAGTTAGCAGCCTAGTATAATAATAGAAAAAAATCTGTGCTCTTTACTTACAATTTTGAGTTCTTTGCAGATCCCACACCCGAGGCATGTAAAAGTGCAATGGCGTCGAGCGTTTCTGCCGGTGTCAGCCAACTGCATAGTTCGTCAACAATTGCGTCCATCATCTTACTTCCGGTGCTGGTAGTATATAGATTTATATAAGCGATTCACCTCCATGTCGATAAATCCTTTTCATAGCTGGCAGGTACCTGACTGGGCAGAAAAGTTCCATCGGCGTTACCGTCCGACAAACAGGTCGTATAATGAGCGTTGTTTACGCTTCAAGGTCGTATTAGCGGTCGTCAACCATTCGTAGATCGATAGGTCGCCGTAAGACGTATGCTATTGTTGTATAGCAACAGTTCGTCTTTAATTGTGTCATTATGGCACCGGCACTAGTAACACAGCGCGACGTTTGCGAATGATAATCAGAATGCTCCGCATCTTGGCGTGATGCATTCACTGTTTCGAGATAGTCGTAGACTTAGATATATGTCGCGATCCGCGATTGAAGACAAAAGATACTCGACAAAAGCGCGAGATGGATCCCTGCAATCGGCTCTAACAAGAGTTGATCTAATTTTGACGATTCGTAATTTGGGCATTTTCCATCTTCGTACTTGATCGATCCGGTTCTGGCTTAGGCTCCAATTCTTTTCTTATTTTTTGTTATCTCCTAAAATTTGCTGTCGTTGACTCTTTTGATTCGATCGATCCTATTTCCACTGATCTGATTGATAATTTGACATATGCCTTGCGAGATATTGCTACTGGCAAACCTGCGTGAATTTATTTTGCAACCTTACAAGTGTTTCTAAAATAATCACTGCTTTGTAAGTATAATAGTTTAAATTAATTGAGTGCTTAGTAATAGTCTAAATTAAGCGATCGCTTAGGAGTCGTTATTTGAATAATTGTGAGAATTGGCAATTGCAAGAGTCGTGAAAAAATTTAATGTAATTGAATAAAGGAACGGTACAAATAAATTATTCGTTATTCGTTGTTTGACAGATGTGAGAAAGGTAAATGGCGACCTATCTCGATCTCGTATAAAATATATACAACATTCGATGAATTATATAATATAATTGACGATTTAGCGCGATATAATTTTGCCAAGTCCTTACGGATCAGGTTAAATATAGAGATTCAACTTTGATTCAATGCGAACGGCAATAAATTCAGTAATATATTTTAACGGATGCACGAGAGAAGCTGTAACAGCGGTGCGATCAATCTCTTCGTTATTATTAGAAGCCGTTAATTATAAGAAGCCAGCTGCAACCGGTGCAACATCTTGTAATGTATTTGATCTCTTACAATTAGTTTGCAATGTAGTCGATTGTCTAGCACGCGATCAAGTTTTATATGCAATATCAATTTCAGAGCAGGAAGCAAAAGATGAAAGGGAGAATGAGGATAGTAAATAAACGTCGAATGCGACAGTAAATAAAGAATATTGAAGAAAATTAACTGGTATGAAAGGGCGCGGTTGTTAACTCTGAATTCAATAAGCTGAAAAGAGCATGATTAATAACACATCGCGATTTTTACTGCTAATGTTAAAATTGCGAAACTTTCTTTAAAAAATCTTTGAGCGCGCGCGCACACACACATACAAACAAACAAACAAACACACACACACACACACACACACACACACACACATATTCCGCTTATGATAAAAAAGCGTTAAATTAAATTCAAGCAAGTAGAGCAAAATTAAATACATATCCTAAATTAGAACAAATGTTTTGCAATCAGCTGATCATATCAGTTGTATCTATATCTGACAATACATTCATGATAAAATGCAATTCTGTAACAACGGAAGAGATTTGACGAATAATTGAATATTTTAGTAAATGTACGAGTTTGAATCTTGAGAGCATCACTTATTACCGATTGTATATTACAGTTGAATATTTATAATGTATAAATGATTTCTTTACAAAATGGAATTTTTTGGAAAATTTAGAAATAATCGATTATGTCACAAAAAAGCTCATCAACTTTATTATAACTGTATTATTACTGATATCATAATTCAAACATTTGTTTTTAATAATTATCTTAAGAAGAACAACAGTATTATCTCATTATTCAGTAAATTAAAAATAAGTTACTTTTAAAAATATTAAAACATTCTTTGAAGATCTAATAGATAATAATAAATCTTCTAATTGTCGTATAAATTATCAGCAGTAAAAATTGCTTCTTTGCATTAAATATTTATTTTAAACTTAAAATGAAGAGAAAAAGATTGATAAAATCAAACCAATTGATAAATTCTATCTGAAAAGTTATATTTTCATTTGATTGTTTAACGATTATTTTGTAAAAAATTTTATTTTGTTTTTTACAAACTATTATACAATGAGTTACTATAAACGTAAAAGCGTATAAAGATATTTGACAGATTTTTATATATCCCACAAGAAAATGAGATTAATATATATTTTACAAAAACGGCCAAGAAAACTATACAATAAAACATATATTTAACAATGAAGTAATTATTATAAAATTTTTATTTCTCAAATAATAATTAAAATAACGCAAGCCAGCATTATAATAAAATACGTCTTACATATTTATATATAAAAGTTGAAATAATCATCTGACTGTTTGATATTTTGTATGTATGGATTCTCATCTTTCATTCTTCATAATTCGTGAATTGCACAATGCATCGCCATAAATATATATGTTGTCTCCAACAATAATATTATATATTCTAAAATTAACACTGCGAAAGGTAATCGGTAAAGAGGCAAAACTGATATTTATGGTAGTCTTTCAGTTTTTCAATTAGAACAATCTAAAATCTATTCGCTATCTATAATTAATTTAGTTAATCCGCTCGCACGAATTAGCGGAAATATTACTCACTCATTTGAAACATATCATAGCGTGGGAAGAAATATAAATAATAAAGAATATCTGTTGTAACACCATCAGAACCATTATATCTGACCGTTCGTTTTCTTGAAGTCGTTCTCGATCGTTTTGACCTCTCCGTGCTGTCTCAGCATTTCTCACCGAAGTTTTCTCGATATCAAGGATTCTGCGTGCAAAGATGAAATAGACTATATCGTGTTCCGCGAAGCTTAAAAGTATCTTTAAAAAAAAGTAGACAGGATCTGTGCGCACTTTGCTTAGTTTTCGATTAAAAAATAAAAAAAAAACAAAATGTGTATATTCTGTAAATCTTAATTATTGTGTCGCAGAAGAAATATGCTACTTATAATGTAGAATTGGACAAATTTGATCATTGTTTATCATTGTATCAAGAAAGTTTAAAAACTCTTTGTAATAGATATTGTAGAAACGAAACTTGCCAAATTATAAGTTTCTTCAATTTCCCCAGTTTCATATAGACTTTGGAGTTAATTTTACACATTTGTTCAAGAAAAATTTTAAATGTTATTGATAATGGTTCGATCTATTGCTATTATAAATTACGTTATAAATTACGTTATAATGTTATAAATTAAAGTTGTCGAAAGAAGGCAGTGTAGAATCAATCGCGTGGTTTATTCGTTTTATTGCAGGTAACGCTTTGAACTACTATATTGGATAAATTATTACGGAGGTAAGTAGTTCCTGATGCAAATGCACTATGGTTTAAAGATTACGAGTGTAAAGGCCCATATCTCGCGTATGCGCATTTTATTGACATGTAACTCTTGTATGATCTGGCCTCTCAGTTAATAGCGATGAGAACCTAAAAACACATTGCGTATTTCGGTGGAATAGTACAAATGTCATAGCTATAATGTCTAAACGAGTTGTTATTTTTTATCGTTTTTTAATATTACAAGGAAAAACGTAATTTTAATTTAAATGTAAAAATTATTTTATTACTTATATACTTATACATGACACGATAATGCTATGCACGTTACACTCTAAACATTTAATTAGAAATAACGACTCAAATTTAATTATATTTTCCATACCGATAATACTAATTGATGGTTCATTAATAAATTAGCTATATATATTTATATATTTATATTACATTAATTTTCTAAATTATATCGTAAATACGGTATAATAAAATATACAAATATCAACTAAGTATGTGCACATATTTTTGTTCAACTACATAATCGGTATTTATAGTATCAATAAATTTCAAAGCCAATCTATTTGCATTAATTACAGCTTTGGAAAAATAGACAAATACAAATGTGTATTAATCATGAAAAGATGATAATATTTGTACAAACCTAATGAAGATTATTTACCTACGAAAGATGAAAGTTTAAAATTTATTACGAATTTTTTTAGTAGAGATTTAACATTTGCAAAATCTATAAGAATAACGAGATTATTTCGCAAAAAAGTGGAAGAGAAGAAGACAGGATAGCTCATGAAATGCAGCAACATATATTTGCACCAAGTTTTACACACGAGAAGTTTTACTCGATAATAAAAATTAGTGGGGCAAAGAGGAAGGAACTTGCGATTGAAATACTGTTAAAACATTAAGATGATATAAAAAAGAAATCAAGATTTCAGCTGTTGAAATTATTATATGCTAAACTAACGTGAACAGTAAAAGCGACATGGAATCGCTCTTTTGACGCCTACATTATACAAAATATAGAAACAAAACCTACATGAAAAAGTATGTGTATCTACATACATATAATATTACATGTATGTACGAGCTGAAAATACTCGTATGTATGAGTTGAAATGTAGCATGATTATATATATGTGTGTACATTGTACATGAAATAAGATCTAGCTGTAGGCTTAGGCTGTTGCAAGTGACTTTAGCTTTATTTAAAGATTAAGACACAGTAAGAATAAGGAAAGCGATGTCTTACTTTTTTAGCTTAATTGGAAAGGCTCTAATGAAATTATTGAAGAACTTTTATTTTAATTAACTTGAGCATCCTATTTGTCTTTTTTATTTTAATTAACTTGAGCATTCTATTTGTGTTTATTAAACTGTTATTGAAATTCGGCGATCAATAGAGCGGCACGTGGCGTGAATATGATTATCAATATTATTTAATTTTATGATTAATTAATCGTCACAGATTTGAAATTGTCTGTGTGAATTACGCGAAAATATATGTTAACATTAAAAATGTGTAAACTTTTAAAAATATATTATTTTTTGAACGAAATAAAAGCATAATTATCGAGGCGAAGTTATTTAGGATTAGGGGCTGTAAAATTCTCGCTTATATTTCGAGAAATTAGTAGTAGTAGTGATTTGCTCACAATTCGTACGTCATTGTATTTATGCATATATGTGACGTATGTACAGGGTGTTCTATTCTAACGTATGTGTGGTATATTGTACAAAACAAGTGAATTAGATAAAAAGCGAAAATGACTAGAGAATGCTTATGCTGTGCATTTGATTATACATTTCATATTGGTATCCAATTTCGATTTCACTTTAAATATCCGGATTACTCTGGATATATGTTATAAAATACTATAGGATAGACCCTCTCCCTCTTCTCGCAACTATATTGCGCATAGTCAATTTCTCTCAACATTACAACAAACTATATATTAACTTTGACGAAACTTTATCTACAGGTAAAATGTGCTCTGAAATATTTCGGGAAATAAGCTCGTTGACTTTTAATTCAGTGCACGCGCACGTTTTGACAATACTCATACGAACGAGTTGTTACAACGATAAGAGAAATTTAACAAGTATTAGGAATTTTGGAAAAGAAATTTCATTTTGGTTTTGTGCTTCTGCAATGGTAGCGACACTAGAATTTACGCCACTTCGTTATTCGTCACATCGTGTGTTGCAATCGTATTCAACAGTCTGCATATATGTCGCGCGCGATCGTTGTGTACGAACGAATTGAATTTCTCTGCTTTGATCTGAAATTGATATCTCTTGTAAAGAGATATCTCGAGCTAGAGAACATCATTTGGAGAAAGTGTACTATGACTTTTGTAAAATGTCTTACTTTGTGAAGCTTGGTTTTCTGTGCTTCTAAATATATTTTCTCTCTCTCTCTCTCTCTCTCTCTCTCTCTCTCTCTCTCTCTCTACGCGCGCACACATATATATATGTATATGTGTATGTATATATGTATATATGCATCCTTATTTTTATATCTCTACAGTTTCTAAAATGCTTTTTATAAATTTCGTTTACGTTAACGTTATTTATTTACTAACTTACATATCAAAAAATAGTTAACGTCATATATAAATTAATAAAGATAGTATTACTTGAGTTTTACTTTTTAATTTGATATAATTAGCTCTTTTTGTGAAACGCATACAGTTAATATACTAATAAATTATAATATTATATTGCATAATTGCTTTTATAATATAATATAATTATATTTTTCATAACAATATAAATATATAAATAATGAAAGATGTATTTTTAATTATTATTCAGTTTATACATATTGTATAAAGGAATTATATATTTAATATGTATAATAATAATTTTGTAATAATTTTATTTCTTTTTTTGCTTTATGTCTTTTCCTCTCATAATTTTCCCTCTCATAAACTGGTATACTTGTTTTTTTAAACTAACTAAGTATAATTGGAAAGAGATGAAATATTTTAATGAAATCTATATAGATGTATGAAAAAAATAACAGTTTTTCTAGCAATATA